CCGTGTGACCCGACCTTGATGTGTGGAGGGGTGATGTACACCAAAGGAGCAGGAGTCGCAGGTAATACGGTGTATCAATGTGTTGAATGTCAAATTTGAATAAGACGGGGGGGGGAGGGGGGGAAGGGGGGGAGGTTGGTTCAAAACCTCATGACTTTTTTTGCATTGCATACGGAATCTACCCGTACGGAGTGATGAGGAGACACGGCGTACGGGAAAGATGATTATGATTGCTCGGTGACGGGGAGGACGGACGGATGGTGATAAAGCATATAGACACGAGAGGGGGAATCAAGGTGAGAGCCAAAACAAGTTGCTCTCAAGGAGTCCCTCTACTCGTACAGAGTTCGAGCACCCGTGAGGGCCAAGGTACCTCATTCCGTGGTTAACAGTGGTTACGCTGCCACAACCTCACAAAGTGAGGCGGGAAAGCTACAATGTATCCATGACTGCTCATCCGTCATAGTGACCAGAGTCTACTGGGCAGGATTGTCGTGGAGACAGACAGCCGGGTACGGATTACTGATAGACCACATGTAATACTCGTTTTAGTGTATCCGTACTCGTATATGAGGATTATAGTAATGATATGAGCAGATACTTGTAAACGTGACTACACCGTACTGTATGCCAAGAAGGGGCGTGGATCCTTTGCGTTGAACCCCTTGTCACACAGTAAAAATAAACAATTACGTATGATATGATGATGGCCCTGCTCTGCACCGTCCGTGAAAACGGTAGCCAGGGGAGGGGGGAGGGGGGAGGGGGGGGGAGGAAGTGGTGGTATTATATGACAAAATGTGTATATTGCATGTAACGAGTACGAGTGAGTACGCATACAAGCAAACGCGGCGATGAGGAGGCAGCGATAGTCGTACATGTACATGCGTATTGAGGCTCCATCCCACCAACGGGCCGTTTTGGGTCAATCATCCATGGCCATGAAGCCAAGATCCATGCTCGCCCCTTTTCTCGGGACTGGTGATCGTCAACCAATAAGGGAAGGGGTATAATCTATTATTTCCCGGGTCGGCGCAAGGGGTGTGCGTGCGTGTGTGCGTGTGTATCGGGATGAGAAAAAAAAGAGAGAGAGAGAAAAAGGGGTCAAAGTGCTGGTGATGAGTGATGGCGGTGGTGAGGTTGCTGCGAAGCCTGCGATATTACCACGAGGGATAGAAGATATCATCTCATCATATATGGACGTGACGAGCTAGCATCAATAATACTCGTGGGATGGTAATAGACGGGGTACGAGTAACCTGTACAGATAGATATTATCATCATCACAGAGAGTCGGGGGGGGGGGGGGGGCAGAAACGTCGAGGCGGCATGCGCCCCCCCGAGATGGGGCTGCATACATACATATGCAATATGCGAGTATTCCGTTGGCGGTTCTGTGCATGAAGATGCAGGCTACGAGAAACGCATCAATGTTTGCCCGGACGGCAACGACGAGCAAAGCAGGCAAGATTCCGGGACGGGACAGAGGAAGGAATTCATCGATACAGGTACCCGTACGGACATATGGAGTGACGGCTGCCAGTCGAGGTGCAGGTGCAGGGGTTGGCCGGGAGGGTGGCAGAGCGACCCGGTTGGTGCCCGTTTGAAATGCACAACACATGTCTTTAATGCTAATACTACACATGTACCGAGTAATAACGAGTAATACGGACCAAGTACGGATTATGAACGGCTTCCAAGTCTCTCTCTCTCTCTCTCTCTGTCTGTCTCTGTTCCCTGTCTCTGTCTCTCCCCTGATGGGCGGCCCGTAGGCTGTAATAATACATGTAGCGTGGGAGGACGAGATGAATATTGGATCACATTAAGTAACATTAGAGAGTGATACCGAGTAAAACAATAGAGTACATGCATGTACTGATAATGGCCTTGTTTAGTCTTCTTGACGATGCCCACTCCAAGGCTTTGCGGTAGAAAAAAAAAAGGAAAGAAAGGAAAGAAAAGAAAAGAATGATGAGAGTCATGCTGCATGTATGTAGATTGGCACTGGGCAACTACCTGCCGCCGGTCGTCGTGACGATAACTTATAAGGGGACTGTCTCTATGTACGTACTCGCGGGCAGTGTGATGATACTACGGAATAGTACCCGTACTAGTAGTAATCTGTAGTCGTAGACTCGTGCGTGGTCTAATTAGTTATTTTAGTATCGAGCAGAATGGCGGGGACGGGATGTTGGATGACATTGGATGCAATCTGTAGCCTGTAGGCTTCCTCTCTCATCTGGTATATTATTTATTATTATAATAATCTATCCGTGATCAATACAGGTGGAGACGTGGGAACGGCGACTAGGACGAGAACATCTTGATGGATTCGCTGGGTAGATTGGAACATGATCAGGAAGCCGTCGTTGATCATATTCGCAAAGGAACACAGCTCGTCACAGTCATCCATTAACATTCCTTTTATATGATGAGCAGTCGCAACCTGGCCAGGTACAGACACGGACACACAGTGTTCCCGTCATCACCAATACAAGAATACACTGTACTATTACCAGAGCCCCCCCCCTCTCTCTCTCTCTTCTCATCTACGGGTGCCAGCATTTCGCAGCAGCAAGTCCACACCCGTACATCATGTGTGAGCAATACGAAGTAGAGAGCCTGTTTTGCTCGTACGATATGATAGAGAGAGAGAGAGAGAGAGTCGTAGAGAGTCAGAGGGAGAGTCAGAGAGAGAGAAGAGAGTTGGAGAGGGAGAGAGTTGGAGAGGGAGAGAGTTGGAGAGGGAGAGTTGGAGAGAGAGAGTCAGAGAGAGAGAGAGAGAGTCTGGAACGAAACATGCCGTCTACGAGTACTCGTAATTACCTGGCCAGGAGTGTCAGGAGTAATAATAAGGACTCGCTGTGTCGACGTCCCCTGACCCAAAGCATTTCATTGAGCTCGCAGGGTCCAGTGGTCTTACCGTTGAGCGTCGAGACGCAAAACATCAAAGTCGAACTGCAGACGCGAAATCTAACCTGATTAGGCAACGCATCACCGACTCACCCCCTTTCCTTCGGCATCTCCATCCTCCTGTTCGCAGGATCGGTCAGTTGAGGTCATCACTGACCACCACCGCCACTGTCTAGGCCGAACGGTGTGGCGGTTGACTATAGCCTGCTCATGAGGGCAACGGCCGCGGACGCGCAGTCGACAATATGGCGGTCGTCAAGGATGGATTTGCAGGTGCCGCCGCCGAAGAGGAATGATACTCGTACGGTGCCTTGTCAGGTATAGATCGCCTGATCGGGCTAGGTTTGTGTGTTTCTGCGATTCAATTTCTCATGTTTGCCTTTCGGCTTTCCTCACCATGATCAAACATCAGACATCGACATCGACCCTGCATCTCTCCCCCCCCCCCCTCTCTCTCTCCCCTCTGGGTCGACCACGCCTTCTTGGCACCGCTGAGACCGTCACTGATCAGGAAGCAATCTTAACCGTTCGAGCCACTTGGGCATGCCCGGGCTTTGACGGTAATAGTACTGATATGACCTACCCGTACGGGTAGTAATATTACTTGATAGCAGTCGTCGCATGGATCTCAAGACTCATCAGACAGGACTCAGGACTCAGGGGCAATCCTATCCGCATCGCACCGCACCGCACCGCACCGCACCGTACCGTACCGTATTACCGTACCGTAACCGTACCATACCGCACCCGCTCAGCCGTTATTACGAGTGGACTGGATGATATTACTGCTGGGCAATTGTATTAAAAGGCGACAACGTACGAGTACCCGTGCTCTATTACGGCACTGTATCTGTTTTCTTCTTCTTCTTCAATCCTCCCTGTACGGTCAAGCTGTAGGTATTAATATTACGATTACATTGCCATCATCACCGGCAGGGGAAACATTCAACGCCGAAGCTCGATGTGTAAATCACTTGGACCAGGGCACCATCACCTTGCACCTCTACCTGTCTGTAGTAGCTCGAAGCCGTCACTGACACGCCCAGTACGGAGTACTCCGTATACGTACACAAGTGGAAATGGCACAGTGCACCTAGCGATAGATTCCTCTCCTCCCCGGGACCAATCCCCGGTCAACTTGAACTGAGTCCCCTAGACAGCACTGAACCGTCCCCCTAAGATCCATCCACCGATGGATCCATCGCATGTGGCTACCTAGAGGTTAGCCTCCCCCCCCCCTCTCCCCCCAAGGAGCAGGCCCCCTAAAGAGCAAGCCCCCTAGAGTAGGCCCCTAGACATCCACTAGGCTAACCAGGATAACCCCCTAAACCCTCCCGCCTATCCATTGTAACCTGCCTCGCCATTCTTCTCCTTTTCTCTCCATTCCGGCTTCTGTCCAATCCCATCGCCCCCTCCTCCGCCTCTCAGCCCAGCCCATCCATCCCAGGCTCTTAATTTTTCCCCATCGTCCATTTTCCTTTCTTTCCATTTCCCGGGTTACCCTTCCTTTTCCCTTCCTTCCTCCTTCTGCTTTTCTCGAGATCTCCCCCCCCTCTCCTCCCTCCTCCCTCCCTCTCCCCTTTTACCTCTCCCCTCTCCGACTCAGCTGACGAGTCGGACACGACGAAGACGAACGTTTAACCTGACGACTTCCCACGGCTGCGCCCCCCTGCTAGGACTGAGTTTCTCCCATACCCGAATACGTCTCCAACCTGGCCGTCCTGCGAGCATCGCCCCTCCCTACTGGAACGAGTGCTGCGCCAGTCGGAGACCCGGTGTCTGTGAACAAGTAGAAGAGCCGGCTGCTGGCCTGCTTCTGCTATTCTTCATTTTATCTCGCCTTATTCTTCCTGCCAACAGGGACTGGATCGATTCAACTCTCCCGAATTTTTTGGGCCATCTTCCTTTACCCCTGTTCATCTCCGACCTGTGCGCCGGAGCGGTGGACCATACGACTGGATTGTCTAACTTGCACGACGACCAACAAGTCTATTCTCACGACGGAGCTCATCTTCTCCCGATCCATCTCCTGCCCTGCAAGGAGCTCTTTTCTTTTCTTTTTTTCTTTTCTGCTCAGCGACCGCGTCCCGCGTCCCGCGTCCCGCCCTTCGAGTCAACGACCAGTTCGCCACTAGGCAGCGTCTTGACTGACTGCAGCTGATAATAACAGCAGACGTCCCGACGACCTTGAGCTGGCGGTCCATGCCGTGCCGAGCCTCCTGCTTATAGACGCTCCCTTCACATTCCTCCACCTTGACTCAGATCAAGACAGGAAATCGGGACGCAGAGATCGACTCCTTCCTCCCTACCCTATCCCTGAACGCTGCTAGAGTGACGTTGCGTAGCATCGACAAGTCGGCCGTCGACGGAAACATGGCCCAGCAACAGCAAGATCTGGGCTACCTGGACTACGGTACGCCCGCAAATCGGTCTCCGGGGACACGACAGAACTACGGCGGCTTCGGACCCGGACTGTCGCTCCCCAGGCAAGCTCAGCGCCCATTTGACACGGTCCTCTCGCCTTCCATGTACGGCGACCGATCCGGCGCCGGGTTCCCCCGTGGCATGGACATGCCTGGAGGCATGCCCAGCTACCTGCTGGACGCCAGCCAGCAGCCCTGGAACTTCAACCCTGTCGCCGGCGGCGCCGCCACGGTGAACGGGGCCGTCAACGGGCCCAACAGGCAGCGCAGCGTCAACCGCCGTGCTGCCCTGCCCCAGAACTGGACAGACCAGAGCATGGGATTCTCCCCAGCGCTCCAGGGCTTCCCCGGCGGCCTCAATGGGACCGGCATGGGCAACGGTGGCATGCGCGTCGATCACCCGGGCACCCACGCTTCGCCCAGTGATCTCCGCCCTTCTCCCTCTGATGGCGACCAGCTCATCCCCACGGCCATCGTGATTAAGAACATACCCTTTGCCGTCCGCAAGGAGACGTTGGCGTCCATCATGCTGGAGATGCAGCTGCCCCAGCCCTATGCCTTCAACTACCACTTTGACAATGGCGTTTTCCGCGGCCTCGCCTTTGCAAACTTTCAGTCGGCCGAGGACACTAGGATTGTCATCGAGGCCATGAACGGCATGGACGTCCACGGCAGGAAGCTTCGCGTCGAGTACAAGAAGATGCTGCCCGAAGCCGAGCGGGAGCGCATCGAGCGTGAGAAGAGGGAGCGGCGTGGTCAGCTCGAGGAGCAGCACCGCGCACCTCTGCTGCATCAGCAGAGCTCCATACAATCCCTGGGCGCCATGTCCCAGTCGCAGCAGCAGCAGCAGCAGCAGCAGCAGCAGCAGCCGCCCCAGCAGCAGCAGCCACCGCGAGGAGCCATACAGCTAGGTAAGTTCGCCGCCACCGTTGGATGGCCTGCATGGACTCATGAGAAGGAAACAGATGTGGACCTCAACGACCCCCAGACGCTCGACTTCTACACCGAGCTTGCCATGTTCAAGCGTGACGACAGCCGTGAAGTCCTCGTCTTCCCTCCCGGTATCGCCCCCGAGCACCGTCGATCGATACACATCCTCGCCCACCACATGGGCCTGGAGCACCAGTCCATGGGTGAGGCCGACCACCGCCAGCTCACGGTGCTGAAGCGTCAGCCGTCGCCGACCATCAACGCCCCCCCGCCTCCCGCCAGCACGCTCGACATGCACAAGCGGGGCCTCAGCCGTGCCGCCACGTTCGACTTTGCCGCCGACAGGGATGCGCGTGCCGCCAGCGGCAACTACGCCAGCGTCATGAGGCAGAACCCCACGCTCGAGATCCCCGGCAGCCCCGACGGGGCCGGCAGCGTCCCCAACAACCTCCGCGCCGCCAAGAGCTTTGCCGATCTCAGATCCTTCACTCCGAGCCCCTCCCAGGCTTCGTCCAGCTACCTGGCGCCGGGGGGCGGCATGGGCGGCGCTTCGGCTCGCTTCAGCGAGTACATGACGTCGTCCCACCAGGGCAGCACCGGCACGCCTGGCCCCCGAGACAACGGCAACAGCTTGATCGGCGGCCTCAACAGCCTGAACCTCGGGTCGTTCGACGCCAACGCGCTGCAGTCGCAGGCACGCAGCACGCCCGGAGCCATAGGCAGCCAGCGACCCGGAGCCAGCGGTACCAACGCCAAGGGTGCACCCGAGAGGCAGCCCCGCGGCCCCGAGTGGGAGAACACCGGAGGGTTCGGCGGACGCCGAGCCAACGGACACGTGGCTCGTGGAAGTGGTGAGTCTGATCCCTACACTATCACGATGGAAACCCATCTTCCGGGGTAAGGTGGGGGGGGTGCGTATGCAGAGGGGAGTGCTGACCTGTTGCAACTCCAGATTCGTCTGATAACGGAGCTCGCGTCGCTGCGAACCCGACGGGGGGTGCATCGAGATACCACTAAGGTGATGAGCAATGCTGGCATGTAAAGTGCTCATCAGGCTGCACATGAGAACCCCTCTATGACCTGCCAACATCGATTGCTCACACCCCTGATGCGTCCCTCTGTCGGTTCCGTGTGATTTTTCTCTCTCTGAGCTTCTCTTTATGTCTTGTTTTGTTTATTAACGATGATGATGAACGCCGCATGGATGAATCGCCAAGGGCACCAGAATCGCATGTGGCTATTGGGCGTGTGCATATACAGCTCTCCTCAGGTCTTTCCCTCATCATGGTCAGCCATGGTCTCGTCGAAAGACGAGGCGAAAGCGATGGGGTGGTAATATAAAATATAATAGCCATATGGGACTGCTTCGAAATATGAGCGGACTCGACTGGCACGTCGGTGCTTCTCCCCCGGCACACGCACACCCCCCCCCCCCCCCCCCCCCCCCCCCCCTCACGAAGGCACTCTGGACCCTGGGCACTGTACCGGACAAGAGTTTTTTTTTATTATCCCGAGACTACTTGACGACGATGACGCTTTCACGACTTTATGTCTAGACAGCAGCAGCAGCTACACCGGCTCTACATTTACCTCTTGCGTGTTCTTGACATGACCGCTTGCGGCAACAGGTCAGATGACACGCAGCAACAAAAAGAAAGAAGGAAGGGTTTGCTTTTTTGGATGATACAAAGTTTTATTTGGAGGGGCTGCTTCGGTGACGGACAACGCGCAGCTTCACCCGACTGTCATGCTTCCACCTTTTCCTACATGTTATTTTGCATCTTGGGCGTTTTTCACTTTTTGTTTGTCTTTGTTTTCGTCTTCTTACAACAACCAACAACTGAAACAAAAAATTCAAAAAAAGAAGGCATTGCGGATTGACGAAACCGATGATGATGCCTATCCGAGAGGAGGAGAGGAGTTGACTAATGGACCATCCGGGTTTATCGTCTGCGCTGGAGCGACTGCCCACTTTCAAGAGTTAGAGAGTGAGCGAAACCGGACAGATCGGTGACCCCCGGGTTGATGGGATGGGTGATGGGTGATGGAAGCAAAGAAAGACGACAAATAAAAGGATTATATGGGAGGGAGGGAGGGGAGAGAGGGGCGGTACGGAAAATAAAAGGGGAATGATGTGCGCGTTTCAGAAGAGGAAGAAGAGAAAGTTATATTGTTTTATTTCTGACATTTATTTTATCTATTGCGCTTTAATTTTTTTTCTCTCCATCTGTTTTAATGGCTCTGTTTCTTGGGACTACCTTTTGCTCATGCTGTACAATCTGTCTGGCCTCTCTTGTCGAATTCAATTTTTTTCCCCGAGTCCGCACGCCCACTTGAGCTTCTTGTCTGGTCCTCCTCGGGTTGGGACTTGGCTGTTTCCCTTGACTTACAGGGTCGTCATTATCAGAGTTGGCAGCAAAGCTGGCTGGCTTAGTTTTTCAATCTTCTTCCTCTTCTTTTTTTCCCTCTTGTACTCTTATCGAATACGAGGAGTAGGAGAAAGGCATACACAGTTGTTGGAAGAGAGAGAGAGAGAGAGTTGTTGAAAAGATGTATTAGATGGGTCGTGATGGGGACGGCGCGGCGGCAAATGTGAGACGGCAGAAAAGAATGAATGGCTCTGAATTTTTCCAATAAAAAACAAAACAAAACAAACAAAATTCCAGGTTGTTTGGTGCCTACTTTTTCTCCCCCCCCCCTCTGTAATCTACACGTCTGTTGTCTGTTGGGGATGATGGCTGATGACGATGGAGATATCTTGAGATTGATTAGACATGAGGGAGGAGGGGGGAGAGTTTGACTCGTACGGTCCGTCCTATTCAGAGGGGGGAGGGGGGGTTTGGGTTTTTTTTTTTTTAATTCTTTTTATTTTTTTTTTCATTCTTTTCATTCTTCTTTTCATTCTTCTTTTCATTCTTCTCCCCCCCCCCCCCCCCCCCCCCGAGTATTGTGTAATTGCCAATACGTAATGAGGAGGAGCTTTATCCCTCCTCGAGTGCAAGTAGGTAGTTTTGAATACAACTTGTAATATTTGCTCAACATGAGAACGAGAGAGATATAAAAAAAGAGTAATCGGCAGCATCGAGCGAAAAAAACGACAAAAGACGGAAGAGGACTTTTCTCTTCTCTCTCCTTCATAACGAGAAGAGATGAGAGAGACAGAGAGGACAGAGAGAGTTGCACGAGACAGCGTCCTCCCCCCCTCCCCTCTCCTCCCCTCTCCTCTCCTCCCCCTCTCCTCCCCTCCCCCACGTCGTACAGTCCAGACCCCCCCACTGTCAGTGGCGACTGTCACTACATCACTACACTGCCCGTTCAAATCGTAGTTGGACCACTCCCCCCCCCCCCCCCCTCCCTTCGTCATAGCAGTAGCAGCAGCGACGACTTGATATTAAATACCTTACATTCCCATCAATAGCTCTCTCTTATACGAATTTCCGTCGGTGCAACGCCGACATTCCCTCAGCCGTCATGTCTTCGTCTACGACGTTTAGGCAGTGGACGACTGCGCAGGACGGCATCGACAAGCTGCAGCTCGTGTCGTCGGTGGGGCCGATCCCGTCAGCCAAGGAGGGAGAGGTGGTGGTCAAGATCCGGGCGGTGAGCCTCAACTACCGAGACACCGAGGTGTGCAGTGGCGAGTACGACCACCACGACCCGCTCCCGCTGGGCGAGGCCTTGGTGCCCTGCTCCGACATGTGCGGTGAGGTGGTGGAGACCAGGTCCGGGAGGTTCGCGGTCGGGGCGCGCGTGCTGTCCATCTTCCTCCAGACGCACCTGACGGGCCAGGTGGAGGGGTCGGACATGGAGAGCGGGCTGGGCCTGCCGCTGCAGGGCGTGCTGGCCGAGTACCGCGTCTTCCCGGCCGACGGGCTGGTGGCCTGCCCCGAGTACCTCGGCGACGAGGAGGCGTGCTGCCTGCCCATCGCGGCGGTGACGGCCTGGATGAGCATCAACGGCTTCAGGCCGCTGGGCAGACCGCTCGACCTGGCCAGGTCCGACGGCGAGGGCGGCGAGGGGCGGCAGAGGCCCACGCTCCTGGTCCAGGGGACGGGCGGGGTGTCCGTGGCGGGGCTGCAGATCGCCCAGGCCGCGGGCCTGAGGACGATCGTCACGTCCTCGTCCGACGACAAGCTCAGGCGGGCCGAGCAGCTCGGGGCCGGGACCGCCATCAACTACCGCACCCACTGGGAGTGGCAGGAACAGGTGCTCGACGCGACGGGCCGGCGCGGCGCCGACTTCATCTTCGAGACGGGCGGGCAGCGCACCCTGCGCAAGAGCTTCGACTCCATCGCCTTCGGCGGCACCATCGCCTGCATAGGCTACCTGAGCGGCAAGGGGGAGGAAGGGGGCGGCGACGACGACGGCAGCGGCGGCGTCCAGAACCGGCTCAACGTCAACGTCCTCGCGCTCAGGCGCAACGTCACGCTCAAGGGCATCCTCAACGGTCCACGCGACCGCTTCGAGGAGATGATTGCCTTCTACGATGCCAAGAAGATCCGCCCCGTCGTCGACAAGGTGTTCGCCTTTGAAGAGGCTAAGGAGGCTTTCAAGTATCTTCGCGATGGCCAGCACTTTGGAAAGGTGGTTGTCAGGGTGGCGGAGAAGTAGAGGAATATTCTAAGGACCAAGGTGAAGTATGACCAAGTAAAACAAGATGAAGAATCCCAAGTCTGAGAGGAGGGACAGCAGAGTACTATACTATACAATATATGCACATTATAAGATATATGAAAAATAAACAATAAAAAAATAAAAACTGAAGACAGTGCTCGGTTTATCCTTTTTATGACGGTTGTCGATGCGGTGCAATGAGATGATGCACATCATATGAGAGAGAGAGAGAGAGAGAGAGAGAGAGAGAGAGAGAGAGAGAAAGAGAGGGAGAGAGAGAGAGAAAGAGAGGGAGGGAGAGAGGGAGGTGCGAAGGGCAAGATGAGAAGAGACAAGAATGAAGAGCGAAGAAAGAGCGATAGAAGGAGGGGGAGAAGAGGAAGGGGGACGGCATCAGTCCAGGGTGTTCCCCTTCCCATCGTGGTATTCGGCCTCGAGACCGATGGCGACGCGGACAGGCCTGAAGAGACGATCCTGCAGCGGGGCCAACCGCGCCAGGAGGTGAGCATAGCGCCAGCCGAAGCAGGGGATGAGCGCGCCGACGAAGGCATCGGTGACGAAGTGGTTGGCGGTGGCGACGATGGTGGGCAGCATGGCGGCCGGCCACAGGAGGGCGAGGACGCGCACGGCAGGGTGGGGGGAGTAGCGCGACAGCCAGAGTCCGAGGAGGAGCGAGGTGCCGAAGTGCAGGCTCGGCATGGCGGCAATGGTCAGCTGGAAGCGGTTGTTGGTCCAGGCGCTGCCGCCCACGCCGGGGGCATCGCCGGCGCCGGCGCCGGGCATGCTGGCCATGCCGCCGTGGAGGACGTCGACGAAGCCGTACTCGGCCGGCAGGAGTCTCGGGGGGGAGCACCTCCAGAGGGTGAGGACGACGAAGGCGACGGCGTTGTCGAGGGCCAGGGTGCGGCGCACGCGCACGTAGGCGTCCCGCGGACAGTAGGTGTAGGAGTAGGCCAGGAAGCAGACGCCCACGCTGATGTGGGCGTAGTAGATCTGGGCGAGGAAGGGGACGAGCCAGGCGTGGCGGGTGAGGATGGCCTCCTGGAAGGACCGCTCAACGTCGATGTGCAGCAGGCTCTCGAGGTGGAGGACCTGGAGGGCGTGCCGGCGCGCCGTGTCGAAGACGGCTTGGTCGCCTGCTATCATCCTGGCGGAGAGGGCGCGGAGGAGCTGGTAGACCCTTTGGTGGGCTGTCAGTCCTCGGGTGTTGCCCATCGGAGAGGAGAGGAGGGAGAGAGTCCCGGAGTGCCGGCTCCAACTCACCAGTACGTCAAGAGCCAATACCATATCTCCTCCAGGAAGGGAAACTTTGTCCAGAAACGTGCCAGCAGGTGAAGGGGGGGTTTGGCAGGCGTGTCCCCCCGGGAGACGTGACCGTCCTCCGCGTCGACATCCGCCTTCTTGGGATAGAGCCTTGCCCTTCCCCGACGTCGACTGGCGAGTGCTCCTGCTGTGAATATGCCGACGACGACTGTTTCCGTTTTCGCAGAAGAAGAGGGGAGAGGAGACGTCAGCTTCGGTGTGGGAGGGGAAGGAGGGAAAAAAAAGAAAAGAAAAAGACAAAAAAAGAAGTCGGGTAGAACTTACCGGCCGGCTCGACTACATCCTTGGAGAGATGCATTGTATCCTCCTCTCTCTCAAGTCATTGACGTACAGGACAAACAAACGATGACGACAACGGCAGCAGCAATGTCAATGACAAACAGCAACGACAACAGCAGCAAAGAGAGACCGATAGGGTGGCAGGAAAAGAACCCGAGGTTGGGAAGAAGGAAAGGAACGATAGGAGGAAGGAAGAAAGGGAGATGGATGCATACAGCTCGTGCTACACAGATGAACAGAGACTGCCGTACTACCCCTGTTTCAACCTTTTTTTTTTTTCCTATTTTTTTTTTTCTTTTTCTTTTTTCTCTTCCCCTTCCTCCCTCCAGGCTGCCTCCCTCCCTCCCTACCCCCGCTTCCTCTCCCCCCTTCCCCATCAGGCCCCTCCGCTCGAGAGGTCCCCCGTCCACTTGAAAGTCTAGGGTTTAGCAGGGTAGCCAAGATGACTAGTACACAGGCTGTGCACGGCAGGTAGATACTCCGTAATAGTCATTCTGGCCACTATTATTGCTCCGCATTGCATATGATGATACCAAGCACGGAGTAATACATACATACATGACTGGGACCCCCTTGGTGTGCAGGTGGATTGCATGCAGACCCATTTTATCATCAGCTAGTCATGTCGGTCTCTCTCCTAGTCGTAGTGTCAGGGACGGACCAGAGAGGGAGAAGGAGTCGAAGAGGTGAAGAAGCCAAGTGTCTTGATCCGAGCAATCAAGGTTTATGATCTACAATGCAATACTAGGCAACCAATACTCGATCTGTACGAGCAGAGACAGAGAGAGATGGACTGGAAAGAGGGACAGAGTAGTAGAGAAGAGAAGCCAAGTGTCTTTATTCAAGCCATGACAACTTCATCCAAGTCATCGCCAGTACGTGCACATACGAGGGACGCCCCGCTTACGTAAGTTGATCCGTGCTCCCCCCCCTTAACTTGTACTATGACAGAGTCCGGTTCCGGGAATAGTATTCTTCCACGATGCGTTTGCCCGGTTGTTACGAGCAGTAAATATAGGAATAAAGAACTTGGCACTTGGTTGATAGATTAATTATCATTACATAACTGGGCTTGTGTGTGTGTCAGATTGACTGTACAGAGTATTAGCATCGACTTCTTAAAAGTGACTCCTAAGGGTCTTTTTTCATTTTTTTTTTTTTCATGTGATCCATACCCACGACCGCTTTATCTCATGTATGGATTGCTGTCTGCACACGCAAGCATCGTTCAGATGCCGTAGAATGGTTATTCCGGTCCGGGGCCTCCGCCTCAGGCCTCCAAAGCAAACCTCTTCAACTCGCAGACACACACACACACGCACGCACGCACGCATATATATATATATATATGTATCTACAGCTTATCCCCGTGGCCTATCGTCAGTGTCGACGTAAAAAAAAAAAACACCCTGTTCCTTGTCGGGATCGAACGGGAACAATATCTCTCTTCTCTGACCGACAACCTCGGGGGGGGGGGGGGGGGGGGGGGGGGGGGGGGGGGGGGAGGAATCAAGTAATATGGCACAAGGTGATTGACAGCCTCCGGGGATTAAAAGTCATCAGGGGCTTGCCAGCCACTAACGCCACAGAAGAAGCCACATGGGACCAACAATGTGATAACAGAAGTCCTCGTGAAAAAAAGGGGGCGGGGGGGGAATCTCAAAAAAAAAAAAAAAAAAACATGTATAGAGAGACAGGGAAGAAGTCATAGAGAAAAGTGGGGAGGGGGGGAGGCAAAAGGGCAAGGAGATGATGAATGATGATGGATAGAGTGAGCAGATGGATTGTAGTCGACCAGACTGACATGTACCGCGCGAGTAATACTCTGTAGTCATCCCGGCCAACTTGCGCGTCTGCGACCCCCCATTACCGGGATTCGGTATCCTATTGTGTCCCGGAAAGAAGAGACGCGCCACTTCCCGTCTTCTTGCACAGATTATCCCATACGGAGCAATCTGTACTCCGTATGGAGTGATCTGTACTCCGTATGGAGTAATCGGTAATTATTACATTATACGAAGTACAGATTACACGTACGAAGTATTACGTGAGCCAATCCCGAGCTGTGGGAGATCTCGTATATACTTTTTTTTTTCCCTCTCATTCTCTCATTCTTTCTGTAATCCTATTTTCTGTAATTATATTTTCTGCAATAACTTTTCTGTAATTACATCTTCGTTACGTTGGGTTTTTTTTTCCCTCTCTCTTCATTCATTCTCCTCCCCCCCGTATCGTTCTCAACTTCCAGTCTTGTCTGCATGTACTAAAACACTCGTTACGTGTACTTGCCGTTATCGTACTCTGTACTCCGTATTGCTACTACCTTCACATGCGTGTACTCGTAGGCGCAACAACTCGACTTCGTATCGAAACAATCTTGCACTCTGCAACACATCACATACATGTGATGATGCCTGTACGCTGCGTGGCCGTTCAAGGCCCCAAGGCACACTCGAGTTCGAGAATCGGGACAACCAAGTATATGGGGTGAGAGGGAGTGGAAAAAAAAGATTCGCATAAAACGTGAGTTATGAAAACAATCCTACACTATCTCGACAAGACAAAGTGGAAATGTAGTCCCATCAAGAGAAATGAAAGGAAACAAGAGAGAACAAGACTAGTAAAAAAAAAAAAAAAAATCATTCCTGTGTACAGAGTAAGACCCCATCCCCGTATCTAAAACTAGACTCCCTCGTCATCCATCTCTTCCTCTTCTTTCGTGCACTGCACACAGCAGATGAACAGATAAGAAAGGAGAGGAAGAGAAGAGAGAAGTCGGAAAGAAAAAGAAAGAAAAAAACAAGAAGAGGAACAAGATCATATCTCATCTCTCTCTTGCCCGTTCATATGATGATTCATCCAGTCATCACGGCCTCACAAAACCCCCTTCGATCCACACTGCGTGAGGGAACGAGGGTGAGACCGAAATAGAAACCAAGGAAAAAAAAAGAAAGAGAATAAGAGAACGGACGATGACATATCCATCGGCAAGCATTCGGGGGGTTCAGGGGTGGGAGAGGGGGGATCGCCAGACTCCGAGCTCAGGGGAGAGATTGTGAGGGATAACGAGATGAGAGGCGCCGTGTCCCGGCTCTTCTTTTCTCCTCTTCTCCTCACTCTTAGTGAGCCATGACACCAAACGATGTGAGGATGTTGTCGGCCATCTGCACGATCCATTCGAGCTTGGCCCTGTCGACCTTGGCTAGGAACGGGTCCGTAGGGAATCCGTCCTGCATGCCGTCAATGAGGAGCCTCACGCGTCCGATCAGCATACTCATGGTCTGCGATGTGCTGCGGGCCACCTCGCGGTTCTGCTTATCCCATTCCTTCTCGCAAGTCAGTACCGAAGAAGAAGAAGACGTCTGCCGCGCCGAGACGTAGGTCGACAGGATGGGGGGAGGGGAAGAACCTACGTGGCTGGCAATGTCGGAGCAGAAAGCCCTGATGGCCATCTCGATCCAGTCCACCTCCTCCTTGAGCCGCGGGTTCGGCCTGATGTTCTTGGAGATGGTAGCAATCACCACCAGTAGCATCAGAGGCGGGAGGGCCTCAAACTTGGCCGGCGGGTACCGCGAGAGACTGCGGCGGAAGATGTCCTCCTCACGTCCGCTCTGGATCCACTGAATCATGGCATCCTGGAGGTGGCCATCCTGTATGGCCTGCTCGATGGCGCGGATCCTCTGGAGGAGGTCCTCGTCCATCTCGGGTTCGCCCACCGGTGCCTGGTTTCCGTAGGCACCCGGGATAGGCTGGCGGTGCTGCTGGGTCGGGTGGAACTGCTGCTGCTGCTGCTGCTGCTGCTGCTGCTGCGGCTGCGGCTGCGGCTGCGGCTGCGGGACGGCGGCCGAGCCCTGAGAGCCGCGCTCGTACTGAGACGGGCTACCCAGGTAGCCCTGGGACTGGCTGGCCCCGTAGCTTCCCTGGTGGCTGCCGGGCTGAGGCTTGCCGGCCGCCGTCATGGGTCCCTGCTGAGGGGCCGCCATCGGCGCGTACTGCTGCTGGTAGGGAGGCTGCGCCTGGGACTGACCGGGGACGCCGGGGAGCTCGTGGACGGGAGACTTCCTGAGCTTGACGAGCTCGGCGTGCATCGATGACTGCGACGCCGCCATGGTCGACATCATGCCCGTCAGCTGCTGCACGCACGAGTTGAGCTGGTCAATCTTGGCCGAGTCGGCCGCACGCTGGGCGCTCAGGCGCTCAAACTGGTCGTTGTACTGCTGGCGCAGCTCCTGAGACGCCTGCCGGGCCGACTGCGATGCCATCGACGCGAGGGCCGGCGTGAGCGAGGCCAGGAGGTCCCGGTTGACCGCCGCCACCACGCGGTCCGAAAGGTTGCCGACGAAGTCGTCGGATCGGAGCGAGCGTCCGAGCGCGTGGGGGAGCGACGCCTGGATCTCCTTGTGGACGGTCGACGACACGTGAGGCTGGAGCTTGTTCCTGACGACGTCGTTGACGGCCGAGGCCGCCTTGTCGCCAATGGCCGGGATGACCAGGTCCGTGAACTGCTGGTGGACCAGGGCCTCGAGGACCTTCTGCGTGTTGTCGTTGAGGACGCTCGAGACCATGTCGAGCAGCTTGAGCTGGTGCTGGTTGAAGCTGTCCTCGCGGGCCTTGGCGCCGTCGTCGATCTTCCCGTGGAGGTTCTTGAGGGACGCCTTGAAGGTGTCGGCCAGGCTGGTGCCCAGCCGCGTCTCCATGCCCGACACGACGGCGTCCAGGGCGTCGGCCGAGACCGTCTTGTCCGACTTGCCGTTGCCGTTGCCGTTGGTGGCCGCGTCCGCCTGGTTACCGCCGGCGGTGGCGGCGGCGGCGGCCTTCTTCTTACGAGACCTGCGCTCCGGCTTCTCCGGCGCATTCTCCTTGGAGGACTGAGGCTCCGTGTCCCTAGCCTCGCTCTTAGCCCTGGACATGGGTGCGGACTCGGACAGCTGCGCAGACGGAGGCGAGGAGTCCTTGGCGACGGCCGCCGGGCGCGCCGCACCGACACGGGACGTCGGCGGCTGGGAGCTCTCGATGGCGGAAACGGGACCGGCGGGGATCGGCGTGGCCTCGGGCGACTTGAGCTTGGAGACGGTGATGACGCCCTCGGTGACGGCGTCGACGGCAGACAGCACCTTGTTGTCCTTGGACCAGCCGAGCTCACGCTGCTTGACCAGGACGCAGGCGACGCCCTTGGAGTGCATGGCGTAGAGCTCAAACAGGGTGGGCTCGTCCGTGTCCTGGATCATGGCCGGGTTGGACAGCATGTCCAGGCTGCGCAGGATGCCGCGGTTCTCGAAGGAGTACTCGCGGACCCCGCTGATCACAGCGGTACTATCCGGCTGCGGGATCGACGTGTCCTGAGCGACGAGGCGCTGCATGTACTCGGCCTGGCTGACACTCTTCAGGTTATACTTGGGGGCCGAGAGGTGCGCAAAGTAGATGGAGTTGCGAGTCGGGTGGCCGATTACGATCATGCCCGACGATGCGTGGTACATGACACTGCAGACAGCGTCCGACTCCTTGCTATGCGGCAGGTTGAACTCCTGGACGGGCTTGCCCAGGGCGAGGTCCCAGAGCTGCAGCGTGTGGTTCTGCTTCATGCCGACAATCATGTAGCGCAGGGCGCTGCGCTTCTGATAGGGGCGCTGCTTGTCGAGGAGCAGAACGGACGTGGGCCAGGCCCTGTCGCCCTCGGGCGTGCTGCTCAGGGTCATGAGCGGCTCCTTGACCTCCAGCGAGGAGTGCGCCGGCATCGGGTGGCGCGGGTCGCCGTCCTCCTTGGCGGCCGTCAGGTCCCTCGCATCCCAGAACTTGACACGGCCCGACTTGTCGAGCGAGACGATGACGGTGTCGTCCTGGCTAAAGGCAAAGTCCTTGCCGGCCTTGCCCGTGTTGATCTTCAGAGAGCACTGGCGCGAGAGTCTGTCGACGTCGACGACGCGGTCGTGGCCAGGCCGGAACAGATCGCTCTGCATCACGTACGACGGCCAGACCACGTTGATGGTCTTACCGCGGCCGACGGCGAAGAACTCGGGGTGGCTCGTAGAAGCGCGGGCGCGTGTCTTGAGGACGCCGCCAGGCGTATCGCCCTCGGACGAGCCCATGGGAGGCAGGGCGAATCCGCACTGCTCCAGGTGAGCGTCCTCGATGTGGTCCTTGTCACCGTCACGGATCTGCACCCAGTACACGGTACCGCTGATACCGGTACCGATTATGGCCTCTCTGTAGACGCCGGTGTAGTCGTTGGGCGTGACCGACATGGCCACGTTGAAGATGCGGTCCTTGGTGTCGGTGAAGACCTTGGCGTCCTTGCCGTCGTCCTGGCGGATGACACGCAGACCACCCTGCTTGGACATGCCGTAGGTCATGTAGTTGGGCGAGGCCGTGTAGAGGTTGCGGTCCATCTGGTCAAACTCCTTCTTGAGACGGGCAATGTCCATGATGGCCTCGTCGCGGAACTCGGGCCTCGGGTCGGTGGTACCCTCCTTGAGGGTCATGGAGATCCAGGGCTTCATAGGAAAGTTGAAGACCTTGACGGGGGGCTCCTCGATGACGACAATGTCATCCTGGTCAGCGCTCTCCCAGCTGTCGGCCACGCCCTCCTGAGCAGCGGCATCGTCGACGGCATCGTGGGCGGCCTCGACGATCTCGTGAGCGGTCTCGACAGCCTCATCGGGGATCGGATCATCGAAGATATTGACGTTGTCGTCGTGGCTGTCGACATCGTTGCGGAGAGCCCTGGCGTGGGTAAACTCCGTGTCCGAGTCGGCATTGAGCCTCTGGTCGAGCTCCTCGGCAAGCTCGGCCTGGGTCATCTCACTCTCGGCCCTCTCGAGAGCCTGGCGAGCATCTCTGTCAACCTTGCTGGCAATGTCGGAGATGGCGTCCGAGACGGACTCCTTAGGCGCCTCGGGGGCAGCGTAGCGATCGAAATCGTCGGATGGGGGGGTCTGCTTTGCGGCAGCCGGGTGGGAGACGGTCTGGGATTGATGAGAGTGAAGCGAGGAGGTGCGATCGAGCCTCTGCCTCTGGAGGTCATGCGGGCTCACGACAGCGCTGTGGGTAGAGCCGGCAGGGGAGGCCTGGTGATCCTTGGTGGCAGCCACAGAGTGCGACGGCGATTGCTGGGTGGTCAGGTTGCCAATGAGCTGCTGGTACAGAGCGTTGATATCCGCCTGCTGCTGCGGCTGCTGCGGCTGCTGCTGATGCTGGTGCTGCTGCGGCTGCTGCTGCTGATGCTGGTGCTGCTGGCCGCTGGCAGGGTACGCATAGGGCGGCTGAGGCTGCTGCTGATCGTATCCAGACTGACCGTAACCGGACTGCTCGTAACCGGTCGGGTCATAGCCAGACTGACCACCAGAGCTACGGTGCATCTTGGCCTGGTACTCCCTGGCAGCGGCATAAGCATCGCTGGGGCGCGAAGGGTGCGAGAGGAGCTGGCTAGTACCGTCGGGGGACTGGGGGGTATCATTGCTGGAGCGCGTGGAGGATTCGGTCATGAGCGACTGCTCGTTCTGGCCAGGCTTGGGGCGGTTGAGCAGGTTGAGAAGGAACGACTTGGTCTCGTCCGGAGGCGGCGAGTCACTGCGGAAGGCATTCTGATGGGGCTCGGGTGCGGGCTGAGATACGGCAGGCTGCACCTCGTGGTGCTCAGAGGCCTGGGTCTGATGCTGATGCGGCTGGGGAGCGGGCGAGCTGGAGTCGTGGGCACCACGCATGAGGGCGGCGAGCAGGCCGGTGGGATCAGCAGCTGCCGGGGCCGGCGCGTGGATGGGAGCGGCAAATTGCTGACTCTGGGGAGAGCTGAGCTCGTGATGGTGGCTCTGGGTAGGCTGCTCGTACAGCTGAGTCGGGGACATGTGCTGCTGAGCAGGGTGCTGGTCCCTGGGCGACTGTTGACCAGAAGGGGGCTGGGACGGGACCTGCTGCTGCTGCTGCTGCTGCTGCGGCTGCTGCTGCGATGCCGTCTGCTGAATGGCCAGAGGGTGCTGACGCTGCGGCTGGGGAGCACCGCCGCCACCGCTGTTGAACTTGAGCAGATTGAGCAAGTTGGCCGTACGATCCTGATTACTTGATGCCATGTTGCTGATGTTTCCGTTGTTGACAGGCGGCGTTGGTGCCGGAGGAAGGTGGTCCATTCTATTTTTTCCCCCTCCCCTTCTTCGATTCCCGACAAGGCGGTGACAGAGAGCTCCTGGGGCAAAAAAAAAAATAAGAGAAAAAGCAAGGAAAGCAAAACAAACAAAAAAAAAACAGCAAAGAGTCGTCAAGAGAAGAAAATTCGTCTGCGCCTAGAAGAGGAAGGGCAGTTAGGGAGGTATATTGATCAAGGGAAAAGAAGAGAAATAGCTCTCTCTCCTCGACGCTCCCTCCCAAGACTGCTATTGCAATGGAGAGAGAGAGAGAGAGATGGTTGAAGCAGTGGAGGAGTTATGGCTCAACTACGTAGTAGAACAAGCAAAGGCCATAGAAAGATTAAAAAAAAAAAAAAAAGCGAGAGGCGTAGCAGCCCAACGAGAAACAAGAGTGGGGACTTTTGGGCAAAGTGAGGTGGCGCCTCAGGAGCCAGTCGTGGGGGGACCAACAGTGGAGACCCAGTTGCTACAATCGCCTGTAGACTCCCCCCTTTGAGTCTTGTGACTGTGGCCTACGGTATAAGGCTAGCTTTCCCGTCCGGGCTCCCATCCCCTAAGACTAAAGAGGACGGCTCTTCCATCTCATCCTTGGGGACCTACAGCCTGAAGCCTGAAGACCATCACCTGATGGTCAGCGTCGTCGTTCCATCGATTATCCGAGAGCCGTCAATTGGGCTTCCATGATTTCATACCATCACTGCATGTAGTACCAGCTGTAACAGCAGCAGTCTGGCCTGACAGCTGGCAGTGCTGGCTATCCCTCGTAACGAGTACCACGACGAGTGTGCCTGTAGGGACGCCAGATAGTAGGCGGTCAATAGGAGGAGACCTCGAAAAAAAAAACAACAACAAAAAAACGCCAGTAACACTGGACGTTCCCCGGATGACATAACGTGATCACCGTCATCGATCAGCCCTCCAAACTCCCGTCGTCACCTTCATCCCCCCCCCCCACACACACACACTCCCCAACCGCTATTCCAAGGTCAACGCTCGGTGATCAATTTTTTACACCGTCGCTCAGCATGTTTTGCCTCCGAAGGTGAGTCCCCGTCGTATCCGATCAATCATGCTATCATGCCGCCTACGTTCCCCGGGACCGACGAAGGAGAATATCAAGATTGACACGTGCGCGCGCAGCTGGCTTCCCCTCCTCTTCATCCCGACCAACGCCTCGCCCGCCTTCATCCTCCTCTTCCTCGTGTGCACCTACTTCCTCAACCGGCCATGCGTCTACTGCTCCCTCCTCCTCCTCATCCTCTTCTTCACCTCGTGCAACTGGTCTGAGCGGTGCTTCTTTGACTTCTCCGCCCTGGACTGGTACGCCCCTCGACCGCTGAGCCCGGCCGCGGGCACGACAAGCGCCTGCACCGCCGCCGCTGCCGCCTGTGCCCATCCCGCGTGGAAGGCTAGCGAAAACTACCTCTCGAATTCGTCCGATGCTGCTGCCGCCGTACCGCAGGAATGGACGGGCCTGGGTATACAATGGCTCAGGATGCTCCTAGGGGGCCGGGAATGGACCATCCAGGCCCTCGATCTCAAGATACAGTTGTAACCATGCGCTGGCGATGCACATTCATCGTGAGCCATTACATCATGTTGCACATAATTTAGCTCTCAATGAATCACGTCAGACGTGTCGATCTCTCTCGACGAAACAAGGGGCAGTCACAAACGAACGGTCATTTCCGACGTCTGGCTATACGGGCATTTATAATATACGCTGTGTCAATCTCTACTAATTACATGTTCGTCTCATATTCGGGGCATCGCAAAAAGAAAAAAAGGAAGAAGAAGAAGCGAGACTCAAATCCATCGTGATTTCGTTCCAAACAAAGGGAAAGATGAGAGAAAAGGCCGAAAGAGACCAAAGGTTACCGACCGATCCCTTCGCCCTGCCTTCAAAGCTCACCCTCCTCCGTCTCCATAACCTCGTCGACCTCCTCCACTTCGTCCGTGGTGGGCTCGATAGAGAACTCTGGCATCCTCTCCTCTTCTTCCTCCCCATGGTTCGTAATGTCCATGGCAGGCTCCACAGATGGCTGTGCTGCCTCCGCTCCCTCCACATCCTCCACATCCTCTGTCACTTCGACCGAAGACGCAGTAGGCTCGGCAATGTCTTCTTCTATCTCGGACGGGGTGACGTCCTCTTCAAGACCTTCTCGCTCCTCCTCCTCCTCCTCCTCCTCCTCCTCCTCCTCCTCCTCCTCCTCCTCCTCCTCCTCCTCCCGGTTGGCCTCGGGCGAAGGCAGCGTAGACTCGGCCGCATCTTCCACCACCTCGGACTGAACAGGCTCTTCTCCCTCTGCCGCCCCGTGTTCCTCCGCGGATGCCTCGATGGCAGGGAGGGCAGACTGGGCAGCAATGGGCTCCTCGATAGCACGAACAACCTCATCGGCTACCATCGTCACACCAACCGTCTGGCAGGGGTCATGGGGGGCAACGTCAAAAGCTGACGGGCTAGCGGCAGCCGTCGCTGTCTGCTGCTGCTGCTGCTGCTGCATCTGCGTGACCGTGACCGTCAGGGGAGGCTCCTCCTTGCCGTACTGGCGCGGCGGCTCTTGGAGGAAAGGCGCGGGGAAGATGGTGGTGCTGCTGGGGAACTGGACCGAGTCGGAGGATCTGCCGCCACGAACGGCCAGCACGAGGACCAACACGCTCATGAGGAAGATCAAGACGTTCTTGCGGTCGGCCAGCATGACTCTGATGGTTTGGACGAGGAGATCCGTCAGGGAGTTGTCCTCGCGACGCGCAAAGGCCTCGGCTGATGGGGAGATGGGCGTCTCGTGGCAGGCATCCTCCGAGACGGACGCGGGCGGCACAGTGGAAGCGGCGCGCGGGACCTCCGAGGTGGAGCGGTACGAGTCGCGGTGGGCAGCGGAGATTGGGGGCGTGCTTCCGTACGTGTCGCGGATGCGCTGCTCGTCCGCCCAGCGACGGCCCGGTTCGGCGGTGGGCATGCGGTCCGGCGGTGGTGGTGAGACGCTCGAGGCGTGCGGGACGGGAGTGGCCCCGCGTTCGAAGTACGGCTGTTCGTGGGGTTGCTGGTGGATGGCGTGCTCGTGTTCGACCTCTGCGTGATCGAGATCAACCTGCTGAACGGCCGTATCGAGACGGACGAGCTCCTCGTGGAGGTGGGGCTCGACAATGGGCTCAACCTCGACATCGACGCGCTCCATGTCCTTCCAGCAAGCCTCCCACGCGCCAGCCTTGACCAGGCCGTTGCTGGCGTAGACCTTGACGCGGAACACCTTTGCGGCGCCGAGGGCGTCGAAGCGGATCTCAGACTGGCACGTGCCGCACCAGTGAGCACCGCTGTCATCATTGCGCCTCGTCGTGGCCGAGCCCCTGCGGTATTGGTCTTCGTCATCTTCGCTGTCCTCGTCCTCGGAGAGGGTCATCTCGTTGGACGGGCCGAGATAGTGGCCGCACTCGAGGATACGGGCCCTCTTCCGCAGAGGAAGCTCCAGCGCCTCGACGATACGCTCCTCGAGCACCTCGAAGTCATTCTGGGGGTGCGGGAGCAGGATGCCGCGCTCGCAGACAGTGTCACCCATGCGGTCCTGCAGCAGCCTCCAGGCGCCGCGGAGGCTCTTGGCTCCATCAGACAGCTCGTCTTCGGGGAAGCTGTCGAGCACGTGGCCCCAGGGCCACCGTAGAGGGAGCAGTGTGGCATGGAGGAGCACCAGCGGGGGAGTGTTCCTCTTGAACCGGGGAGGCGTCCTCTTGGGTGAGTACTGGGTCGATGAGCGCGGTGACTCGAGCCTCGAGCCGGCGTTCTGGCGCTTTCCCGGCCTCGACGACCCGACAACGCTCGGCGGTGGCGATGACATCTGCATGGCCCTGACCGACGATGGTGACCGAAACGGCGGTCGGGGCGTACCCCTGACCGTCGACACAAAGACCTCCTCCTGGTCCTCATCATCTTCGTAGCGTGAAATTTCGGACATGCGCGGCGATTTTGACCGCTGCGTCATCGCAGCGTCATCGTCAAGCTGCACCGACATGTCCCTCTTGTTGTGGTCGGGGTTGGATAACGAGCCAAAGGAGCTGCGAGGGCTGTGGTCGCTGAAGACGTTGTCCTCGTTGTCGTGGTGCGAGCTACCGCTGTCGCCGCCCTCCTCTGGGCCCGTTCGATCCTCGTCCGGCTCGTTTTCGTCATGGGTCTCGAACTCGACCGATTCGCGGATAGAGTCACCCTCCGCCATATACTCGTGGGTAGAGTGATCGTCGGCAAAAGACTGATCGTGAATGGAGTGATCCTGGGCCAGAGACTCACGAGCTTCAGATTTATGGCCGGCTTCCTTCTCTTTCTGGGACCTGAGGGCCCGAGTGCCGTCTTCTTCATCGGACACGAGGCTCGCCTCACCGCCTTCCATGCCCTTGTCGTATGCAAGGCTGTCGTCCCCGGTCTCGGCACCAGACTCACGCCGTGAGTATGGGCCCTGGGCATCATCGTCCTCTCGGTGCGCTAGACTATCTTCACCGCCTTCAGTACCCTCGTCGTATGTGTACTCCGAGCGGCGGCGGTTCGATTCATATGTTCCCTGCGAAGCACCGGACTCACGGCGGGACACGGAGTCCTCAGTCTCATGTTCGCCCCCATAACCTTCCTCTTCTCCCCCCCGGCCATCATGATGGCGATCCCATGTACTGTCCGTGGCGTCCGTCTCGCGGCGGGAGGGGTAATCGTCCGTCTCCTCGGGTGCATCGGTAGAGTAATTGCTGACGCTGCTGCGTCTTCTACCACGGGATGGAGCAGCGTCATCCACCTGGTCTTGTTGGTCGTCGACAGCTCGGCCGGTGCCAGCCTCGAGGTTCTGGAGCATGGAGTCAGCATCGGTCTCGACTTCTTTGCTGGAATGCTGGGTCGGTCCGTCTGCCTGGCTGCCGACGGGGGTACTAGCCTTATTCATGTTGGAGTCGGTGGCATCAATCGGAGAATTATCATCTCCACCTCCTCTAATCTTCGCAACCCAGGAGTCTTCTTCTTCGTAATCGTCGTCTTGTCCGCTGGAAAGATCTTGGTGGTCTGCCTCCTCGGGATCTCGGTGTGTGACAGAGTCCAAGTCAACATCGGTGTTCTGGAGGGGCGACATTGGGATGTATGTAGAAGGATGTACGGTATGTACAAGTAAATAACAACAAAACAACAGGGTAACGCAAGCAGGGAAGAAGGCCAAAAAAAAAACAGGGGGAAAACACGAAAGATGACCAAACTGACAGCTGGACGGGGTCACACACACGCACACAGAGACACAAAAGAAGAAGCGAACAGAGATGTGGTCTAAGGGGAGGGGGGGTGGGTTGCAATTTGTCGGTTGGCTGTGGGCTGCCCTTGAATATTCCAGATTAAGTGTCTTTTGTTTATGATGTTGCTGGGGCAACGGCTGGTCACACCTCACGCCGGGTGGGAGATGCGACAGACTATCTCATCCGTGTCTCACGGTTCCATCCGCTAGATGGCTTGTTACGGAGAAATAGAAATAGTCGTATGGCTTCTTGAGGAGTGTGGCAGTCGACCGGAATTCTCTTCCACGCGGTTCCTGACAAAGGTGAACCTTGGCGTGGGGATAGACCAAATGACGAATTCCATTCGATTTACTATCGTTGCGTGGAGAGGAAATGACTATAATGTCAATACATGTAACGAGTACGTTGGGTGTCGATGGAAAAGAGCAAACCGGGAGGCCTGCTTCTCCTCCTCTTCACCGACACTGATGAACTCTCCACGTATACGCACGTATTCAGCAAGAGACATTTCTGAATGGGCACAGCAGGATTATGTGGGGGGAGAGGGGGGGAAGAAGAAGTTTTACTCTTCATGTTTACTCTTCTATTCTCATCTATTGATGTACTTGGCATCTGTGGACGAAAGGAGGAAGCTGTCATGATTCCCAAGGAAAAAGCTTGACCTTGGAATGATATTCTTGCCAAACACATACGAGGATGGGAAGCAGCAGTAGACTTATTCAATCCCACGTGGTCGGGTTCCGATCATGTTCCGCAACTGAGTTCTTGGTTCTGGCTATACATATCATGTTTAGGTCGTGACCTTGGTCGCAATATTATTAATATGTCGAGTCTTGTCTGCAATAATACATGACGTGGAGCATATATATCGTCCAATGTCGGTGACCGCACATCCCCTACTGTTGTCCTCCCGGCGAATGCGAGGATATTGCCGATATATGCCCCTTTGGATGTACTTGCGTATGTGAATCTCCCGGTTCCTCTGCCAGCAACTACATGTGCTGTGCATGCTGATGCTCGTACTACTCGTCCGAACGAGAAAGAAAGAAACGTGAAGCAGATTTGTGAGTATTGATAGTGAATATTGCTACTGATACTAGGTAATATTACTAGTTAGTGGGTTGGCACACGTCACCGTGCTGGAACCCTATGGATAATGCGCGACACACCGGTCTCCATACTGCTGTTATGAATATGGCCGGTGAAGACTATAGAGGTGCGAAGACGTCTTCATTATTTCTATCGTAGAGCGCAGAGAGTACGATATAATCGATGTAGAAATAATGCCCTTGAAAGCGTGTACAGCATTCGATAGAGATTAGATTAGGTGAAGCATCTTACCCTATGACATCTAACGTGTGGGCACTCAAGATTGTATGACTAAGCAGCCAGAGGCTACTGCCACACACATCTGTAGATAACCTCATATATTTCCTCTCCTTTCAATGAAGCAAGCACCGAGACACGCACTCATCGAACCAGGACGTACCAGTAGGCAGAGGCCACTGTGCTCACGTCTACGGGCCATCATGTGTTGTCGCTAGCAGGAAGCACAGACGGCCAAGACCGCGGCAGAAGAAATAACATCAGAGCATTTTACACATCATCTTGAATATTTCAGCCTGTTGATTCTTTTCTTCTTCTTTTTGATGCGGATGGCTTTCGTCTTTCACTTCTATTCATCCGGCTACCGTTCTCCAACCCCGTCATTACAAATCGGACGCTCACATATGACCTCCCGTATGCATGCTTAGGATGCAGCCAGACACACAAGGACCCCAGCCCCGGAACCTATCCATCATCCCACGCGAGGTGTCATGCCTTCTCTGGCGCAATAGACCTAGACACCTCCACTTCCCGGCAAACGGTACCCTTAGAGTAGCAGCGTTCGCATCAACGTCGCAGGGACCGCGACGATTTTTGGGGGGGAGGGGGGGGCGGACGGAGCAGTGTGAGCGGCTCGGCGTTCGTAGGGTCCCGCGAGTCAGACGCCAAATTCTTAAGGATGTTACCTCTTGGGAAATGGTAGGATTGCAATGCTGAGTTCCCCATGCTCTCTAGCTCTCCCCAGATCGCCTTGCATATGTTGGGGAGGAGCATGGCTGATGCAGAGCAGCAGGGCTGTCGGCGATCGACGACAACACTACCCGCACCGGAGGTAGACTACGACACCAAGCACTCGACGCCGCCCGGTAGGTCGCCGGCATCGTGCCATGTTTACGAGTCAAAAGTCCGTGCTTGAGACGATGGCACCGCCGGGACCGGATAGCGGGGAGGTCAGTCAGCACGGCAATCGTGGTTATCCTGCATTCACTCGTATTGGCATCCAATCTCCATTACCCCGGAAAATTCCTTGGCGGCCATGGCCCATTGCGGCACGCACTCCGGGACGGCTCGTGCATGCCGTGTATGACAGGACGCCTTGTATGTACGTCGAACCCTCCATCATCCCAGGCACAGGTGATGTTGAACGTTTCGGGATTCCGTATCTAATAAGGCTATTTGTCCTCATCATCATTAGCCTCTTACCAGTTGAGGAGAGCATTGAACGTTTGGATATCCCTGTCACTTGTTCAGGTGTGAGTCCCCCGCGTTTCATCCTGCATCATGATTGGTGCGGCTAAGTACAAGCAAGGGGGAGGGGGCCTGCTTAGAAGGTCACCCACCGTCTGGCGCATCGCATCGTATGCGGGGAAGTATCCGTGAAGCCATGTACTGTTTCTGAAGCCTCGGGCCGGCCCTTCTGGGACAGATTGGAGATGAGTCGAGGATATGGATGGCCACCTTCTGAATATATCGGAAATGGTCGAAACGGCCACCCCGAAGTAGACATTACCACTGCTACTTGCACGGGCAAAACCCCGTGCCTTTATTGCCCTTGGGTTGCTCTGCGTATGCACTCACGAGTGCTCATTACGGGAAAGGTGCATACGCTAGTACACTAAATTGATAGTAGGGAAAGAAGACGGCCCTAGCAGTCACATTCGTAACTCCGTAGGGCAGAGCATTTCCTGGAGAAAGGGAAGAAAAAAAAGGCGCTATTAAATCTCGCGATTGCCGTTATAATATTCTGGCACGCGCTTGCCTGTTCTCATCGTGTACCTTCCCCCGCCCTGGCACTCTCGCCCCTCGCCCCCCCACCAACGTCCGGTTCTCTACCATTTCATTCATCCCATCTCATACGCTCCCTCCTCCCCCTCCATCTCCTCCTCCTCCACTTGCTCACAGTCCATTCTCAACGCCCGCCGGTTCTCCTCCTTGGCTGCTTCGGCCACTGTCTCACCGACGTACCGCAATAACCACCGCTTCCCGCACCGTCTCCTTTTTCCTCGGCCAGACAACCCCACGTCATGGGATCGTGAAACCGGACAGTTCTCTCAGCTCTTGGCCTCTGTCGTTGCCGCAATCCTTTCGCCCATCTGCCTTTCTGAGACGATCGTCAAGATGCTTCTCTACACCCGCCTTGCGCCCCCAAAGATCCCGAAGAAGCGCTCACGAGCAGGTACCTATACCCCCAGTCTGATCCAGACCCGAATACCCCACAGACAACCCCAATGTGCTGACCGTGGCTTCGTCTGAAAACTGCAGGATGCAACTATTGGTAGGTTCAGGTCACTCTCCCTGATGTATCGCTGGAGCAACAGTGCTGACACCATCGTAGCAAGGAAAAGGTACTCGTCGAATTCCATTCGGCACCCCAGACGACGATAGACCACAGTCTGACATCCGAAACAGAAGAAGAAATGTGACGAGGCGCGGCCCCGATGCTCTCGGTGCGAGGAGCAAGACCAACCATGCGTCTACGAGGCCATAAAGTCTCGTCAGCGTCGACGGAGGGAGAGTCTGTCCGCCAACACCGCATACTCCACCACCCAGGCGGACGTATCTGCCAACCAGTGGCAGCAGCAGCAGCAGCAGCAGCTACAGCAGCAACTCCCCCGACATGGGCACCGGAGTCAATGCCGGGAACAGAAAAGCCCGGAGCTCTGGGAGATGCATACTCCCACGGTCAATGGCACTGACTGTATGCCCTTTCGGGCTCCGACGCCGACGAGGAATGTCCTCGAGGAAATGGAGAGCCTGCTGCCCTGGGCTGTCTACGATACGGCCGCTCTAGGTGCCCTCACACCCTTGACCCCGGCAAGCTTTGACATGCACAGCGTAGACGGGCAATCGGCCATGGACGGCAATGAGATGAACAGTGACGACGTGGAGGAGATTATACGCCGCGGCTCCACTGCCGGGTCGACGATGGCACCCTTCGAACACGCCCAGCTCCGGTGCGAGCAACAAGACCAGTTTCTGCCACCGCTGCCCACTCTCGAATTCTGCGCCCCTGCGTTTGCTGAGTTCTCGGAGCGGAAAAACCGCCGCCATCTTGTCGGGCATTTCTGCAACGTCCTTACCCACCTCATCGTATTTCGCGAAGAGTACGGCAACCCGTTCCAGCAGCTCGTCTTACCTCTATCGGAAACTAGCCCGGTCGTCATGGACACGATATACGCACTCTCTAGTGCCCACCTCGAGTTTCGCGGGGTTCAGAATATCGAAAAGAGCGAACACTTCCACGGCAAGGCAATACAGGGGCTGGCACGTCTCATCGAGAAGGGAAAGAGTGCCAACCGCAACGAGTTGCTTGCGGCCATCATACTGCTCGTGTACTATGAAGTGGTGAGCGAAACAAACCTTGGCCGTGTGCGCAGGAGCTCATGCTGACGAGTATCTCATCGACAGCTGGTGCAGAAGGGTCGGTCCAACATTGTGGATGAGCATCTCAAGGGTGCTATAAGCATCATGAACAACTTCGAGGCCAGCACAGATCCAACAAGCGTCTTCCTGGAAAGGGTTGGTGCATGCCGGATTTCTTTGCATGAGAGCATGACCATGAAGCTGACCTCTCCTCGTTCCTCCTGCCCCAGGCCTTTAGATTCTACGACGTCATCGCGGCCCTGTCCTTTGGGACGGCACCGCTGTCATCAGACTCTGGAAGCGGCTCCCGTATCCCACTGCCGCCGCTCGATTCCCGCGGGGCTACTTCGCCCGTTGGCAGCGTAGACACCCTCTTGGGCATGGCAACTGCACTATGGCCCGTCATTCACCGCCTGTCCGGTCTTGTGTGCATCAGAGATAAGCTCGAGGCAGCCGTGGTACGAGGGATGACGTCGGAAGCCACGGTACTGCGCACCGAGCTCGAAACTGCAGCTTCGGCCATACAGGTGGCACTCAACCGGTGGCAGCCCATCCTGCCACCGGACGATTCGAGGACGCCGACCGATAAGGCCCGGCTGCAGGGCATCCTCAACAATGCGCTAGCCTACCGTCACTCAGCCCTCGTATACCTGTTCCGGACCATCTACGGGTATGAGCAGTCGCACGCGCTGGTCCAGCAGAATGCGCACCTGAGCCTGGTGTACTGCATGGGCACGGCGGCAGGCGAGGGCCCCAAGAGCGCGTTGCTGTGGCCTCTGTTCGTGGCAGCGTGTGAGGCGACGAGCACGGTTGACAGAGATCTCGCGCGGCAGGCCTTTCAGTCGATCGACAGGGTGCAAGGCATGATGAACATCGAGAGAGCATGGGGCATCGTCCGAGAGGTATGGCGAAGGGCGGATGCCGACGAGGCACTCGGGGCCTCGCAGCAGAGCCACATGGCGCCTGGGGAGGTTCGGCGGCGCACGGACGGGGAGATGAGCCGAAATATCACCTCGGGCTGCGGCACCAAGCGGGGAGGGGATCTCTGGAGGCGGGTGAGCAAGGACATGGGCGTGACGATTGTCCTGGGGTGAAGGGTAGACGTCATGCTCATCAATGGCACTGGTCGGCGCATGGGAGATGCAGGGGCAGAGATGATGTACAAGGCCATGTTTTCAAATATGAATTCGCTACTGCCAATGTTCATAATGTACGGATCAGCCAACAAGGTTGGGTGTAGATGGTAGGAACCGGTGTACGGAATCCGCGTACAGTGAGATGAAGACGGGCAAGGCGGAATACGTGGTGCGGGGGAACGAGTGGCAAAGGCACGGGCGTGATTGAGAGGCGTGAGTGGTGTGTGGCTCGCGACCGTGGGCGAAGGAGGAGGGGTAAGAGATTTTTTTTTTTTAAAAAAAAAAATTAAAAAAAAAAATTAAAAAGGTCACGATGGAGAGACATGGAGAGCTTTGACTCGATGCCGTGGCTCAAGTGCCACGTAGGCAAAATTGTATGCATGAAGCTAAAGGGGGATGAGAGGACTTGTGTGTGTGTGTGTGTATGTGTGTATGTGTGCGTGCGTGTGTCACACTCTCGCTTTCTCACTCTCTCTCACTCTCACCCTCCCCCCTTTTCTCCTCCTTCTACGTCTTCCCAGTTCCGAGTAAGGAGAGTGAGAAAGGTCATTGATGGATGATGATGATGATGCTGAAACACGAAAATGCATAACTCATACGTCCTGGAGTTTCCTACACACAACGTCTGGATCGACGCTTACAGGATATGTAATACACCAGATCTAGTGGCAGGGAGAAAGAAGAGAAGAGAAGAGAAGATCGACGACGATCACGACCATGTCTGCACCAGTGGCCGTGAGTACTGCTCGGAATTATTACCTGCTTATTTCCACCCCTCATCCGATGAGCTGGGCAAGTCAATCGCTACGAGCGAGCAGCTGTGGGATGAAGCAGGAGAGGGTGGAAGTATTACTATGCTGCTAGTGGCGATATGCTGGAGCGTACGACCAGAACGTCTCCCCATCATCCACGGGCTTCTGATCCGATAAAGGTTGGCTAACAGTATTGATTTCTAATCTCGTCTCCTTCCATTTTTTGCTTAGACAAGGAAAAAAAAATGCGAAGGAAGTCGAGACCATTCTAAAGTTGAGGGGGGGATGGTGGTGGCTGGGCCCCAAACCCGTGCTAGTCAAGCAATTATTAATGTCAGTGACATCGTGAAATGCCATGTCAGAGATGAGGAGAAAAGAAAAGAAAAGAAAAGAAAAAAAAAAAGGGGGGGGGGGGGGGGAAAAAAAGGAAAAAAAAAAAAAAAAAAAAAAAAAAAAAATTGGGACGGGGGGGGGGGGGGGGGGGGGGGGATAGAAAAGCGAAAAAAAAAAAAGAGAAAGAGAAAGGAAAAAGAGGGGAAAGAAGGGGAATGATGGCTTTCGGTAATGGGGAAGGGGAGAGAGAGGGAGAGAGAGAGAGAAATTCTCGTGGCCAGCTGACCTCTTGTCTCTGCGGTAGGGCAAGGAAGGGGTCGTGCACGGAGGGAGAGAACGGCATCGTGTGATGGCCGATGGAGAGTGACGATGATGATGGGTTCAGAGAGGGGCCGGTCAAGATGGATGGGGAATGGCTGATACTGCTACTACCACGGTGAATATACGGAGTAGATACGACAGGAAGTTGACCTGCATACTGATCATGTATGATGTATTGAAGAATGGTTTCCCTGCCTCTGCTTGCCTCTGACCATCTGGTGCTGGAGAAGGAAGCGTCATTCTGAAGACGGCGCACTATGTAATCTGCAGAGGCGAGGAATCCATCCATCACATCCAGCTGCTGGATGATGGGGGTGGTGGGGAGTATTGTTACTAGGAGAGGCCTATGGACTCCATAGTATATAATATTATGGAGTTGATGGAATACGTTCAGAAATGCGGCAGCCCCCTTCCCCACTCTCTCCCTTCTGGGACTGCAACACCTCCGGATTTCGAATTTGAATACCCACATTGAAATGGGCCGCGTGATGTGACGATGCCCACCGCTTTCTCTTCCGTGTGCCTGACCGGCGTCGTCTGCCCCGATGCGACGACGGTGAGAGGTGAGAAGAGGGCGAGGGAGAGAGAGAGAGAGAGAGAGAGAGGGAGGGAGGGAGGGAGGGAGGAAGGGGGAGAGGGGGGAGAGGGAGCAGAGCAGCATAGAGAGAGCCGTGAAAGGTGACCACTAACCCGCAAAGNGAGGGAGGGAGAAGCCAAGGTATATCCATAATCTGAATGAGATCGGGGACCGCGGGTCTCTGAATGGATTGAACTGGCCGACAGCCTCCTCCTGCTCGCCGGACCCTCTTCCTTCCCGAGCCTCTCCTCCCCAGACCCAGACGCTCGACCCCAGGCTTTCCCAGGCTTTCCGCTGGAGCTGTCGAGTTCTGGTGCACTGCCCAGCGCCCGCCCACATCAACCCCCCGCCCCCGGTCGCTCCCCATCCGCCCTTTGTCGAGACCGTTGCCCACCTTGCGACCCACTGAAGCTCTCCTCCGCCACCAACAGAACCTGCTGTACGGAGGAGTGCAAGTACGGGTACGGATTGATCTGTACAGGTACGGAGCACACCAGAGCCGTACTAGAGGTTGCAGCGACCCCGTAGCAGTTGCTGCCAGTAGTAGCAGTAGCAGCAGCAGCAGCAGCAGCAGCAGCAGCAGTAGTAATGATACCATCCCGTACTGATCCGTATTGCTACTTGCCCTGTCTGGTACGGAGTAGGAGTAGCAGTGTCTTCAGCAGTACCTTGCACGTTCTGGCCTACCCTCCTGCTTCTCCCCCTTCACCTCCCGCCGAAGCCTTCTCTTCACATTCTCTTCCAAGATCCTCCTTTCCCGCCGGCTGTCGTCATCTCTGTCCCGCCCCTGGGCTCGTCTACCTGTCCGGCCGTTTGCCTTCCTCCATGTCCCGACGCTATGTCGGCCGACGTTGAGCTCTTGAGGAATTGATATCATCGTGCAGCCATCGTCACTCATTACCTCCGGTGGCAGCCGGTACTGGTGTGTGTGGTGCGTGGTTGCCTCTCTGGTTTTTTTTTTCTTTTTTTTTTCTTTTTATCTTTCTCTTCTTTTCTTTTCTTTTTCTTTTTTTTCCACCTTTCCCGCCTTTCCGGCTGCAGGCCATCCTACCCCTCCTACACCTTGCTGCCCGCAATCGTCTGTCGCCTCCGTGACTCTCCTTCTATCCATAGCTTCCACATGTTGATCACCGCCATGGTCAAATCATGGCCACAACCCTCCTGAACAGCAACAACTCCAAACCCGCCCAGCCATCCGCTCCCGCCAACTCTGCTGCCCAGACCTCGGCTCAGCCTCCTAAACCTATCCGCTTCGTCAACAGCCAGGGTCGTCCGCCCTCCAAGCGTCGCCGCATAAACGCAGCGTATGTCTTCTCCTGCCTCCTCGCTCTCCGCATCCTCCTCTCTCCCCTCTCTCCCCTCTCTCCTCTCATCTTGGAACCTGCCCTCCATCAGATACCGCTCCTCCCCCCCCCCTTTGCTGACTCTGCTCTCTCTCTCTCTCTCTCTCTCTCTCTATCTGTAGCTGCCTAACCTGCCGACGTCGCAAGACGCGATGTGCTGGCGAGCGTCCCCGGTGCTCGACCTGCGTCAACAACAACCACCAATGCCTCGGCTACCAAGAGGACAAGAAGGATGGAAACGACGCGGCTGACGCCAGATTCGACGCCGACGACGACGACGACGACGACGCCCAAGAAACAAACGATCCGAGCGTTCCCCACCGTCAATCCCTATCACACGGTAACCAGAAAAGGCCCAACCTGCCTGCTGCCAGTCGCGACAGGAGCGTCGACGACGACAGCAACGACCGTCTGACCAAGAAATCTCGCATCGCCGCCGCGGACCCGACTCCGCCTGTCGGTGCCAACGCCAGCAGCAGGAGTACGGCTGCCGATCATCAGCGTACCCCCTTATCCCAGCATCGGCAGCTGCCCGGGCCTGCCGCCCTGCGGTCGGGAGCGCCCTCGGCCAGCGCCGCCAAGACCGGCAAGGGCAGACCGCCCCGACGCGATGCGACGTCGCCCGCCGCTCACCAGCCGTCCACGACGTCTCCGTCCTCCCGCCTTGCCCGCGCCCGCACCGCCTTCGACGCGCCCAGACCGCATCTCGAGGACCCCGCGTCCCCTATGCTCCGTCGCGCCACGCCCCCCGGCGGCGGCGGCGGCGGCGCCAGCAACCATCGTGTGCCTTACTTTCGCTACTTTGGTCCCACCGCCATCGTGCCCGGATTCAAGCAGATGGTCGTCTCGGTCCGCCATCGCCGCCGCTCCACCAACGGTTCCCTGTCGGATACGTCACCGTTGAGCAACCCTAGCGGCACAGGCCCCGGCGCCAGCACCGGTGCCGAGAGCGATCTCGCCCCCGACGAGCCCCCAGCCTACGACGTCAGCGACCCGGCCCCGGTCCACCCCCTCATCATCAGCCTGGTCACTGCATTCTTTGTCCACCTCGGCTGCAACTACCCCTTCCTACGCCAGGACAGGTTCGTGGCCATGGTCAAGGAGAAGCGTGCCGAGCCCATACTCGTCGACGCCGTCTGCTCCCTCGCCGCCCGCTTCTCCGACTCGCCCGTCCTGACGGCCGGGAGAGACGGCATGCCCCGCACCCTACGCGGCCAAGTCTTCGCCCAGAGGGCCAAGCAGGCTACCGTCGACACCTTCCTGTGCCCCACCGTCGGCGCCGTCCAGGCCTGCCTCCTCATGGCCTACGAGGGTTTCGGGGCCAACCAAGACAGCGCCCTCTGGATGTACCTCGGTCTCGCCATCCGCATGGCCGTCGACCTCGGACTGCAGAAGCGCGTCGGCATCCAGTACCGAGGCGACGAACGCGACCCCCGCGTCACCAAGCAGCAGCTACGCCGCGCCCGCTCGGCCTCGGAGAGCCCCGGAGATGCCAGGGATCAGCCCGACACGCCGCTGCAGCAGGAGGAGAGGGACCTGGAGCAGGAGCGCGTCGACACCTTCTGGGCCGTGTTCGTGCTCGACCGCCTCGTCTCGTCCGGCACCGGCCGGCCCGTGACACTGCGCGACGACGACTTCGAACTCCCCTTCCCCAAACCCGGCATCCACCCGGATACTCACTGGCCCACGCCCTTCCCGATGCTCGTAGAGATCGTGCACATGTACGGCCGCGTCTCGGACATGCTCAACAACATACACGACATCTCGGATCTCACGCAGGAGACGTGGCACAAGCTCATGACCATGGAGAGCCACCTCACCATGGTCTACAAGAACTGGGACGTCCGGCTGCAGTTCACCGTCCCCAACTTCAAGGCCTACCTACGCATGGGCCAGGGGACGACCTTCATCCTGCTGCACTTCTGGTTCCATGCGCTCTTCATCATACTGCACCAGCCGACCCTGCTGTCTCCGTTCGGCGAGCTGCGCAGCGAGCTGCAGCTGCTGCCCGACAGCCGCGAGCTGAGCATGAGCAGCGCCAAGACGATATGCGACATACTGGCCTTCGCCGATCTCATCGATCCAGACAGCTTCATCGGCAACCCCTTCACGAGCCAGCCCATGTACATCGCCGCGTGCGCCTTCCTCATGGAGTCGAGCGCCACCGTGTCTCAGCGCCCGTCCAGGGAGGCCTCGCCGTCGCCCAGGGAGGTCAGGAGGACCGAAACGTTCGGTTCCAGGGAGGCCGGCAACGGTCGGACCGGCGCGGGAGGAGGAGGGGGAGGAGGAGGAGGCGCTGGCGGCGACAGCAAAAAGCTGAGACATTCGCTCCTGGCATCCGCCGCCAACCAAAACTACCAGCAGTGCTACTCGTCACTCCAGAACCTCCAGGCATATTGGGGCGGCGTCAAGTACATCCTGACCGCGCTCGACCAGAAGTCGAAGGGCATATGGGACTGCGAGACGTACACTCTCGAAGAGTACGAGAGCGCGAAGACGGGCGGCCGCGGCGGTCTCGGCAGCCAGTTTCAGTTTGACAACTCGGCCATGACGTCGCCCAACGCGACGGTGAACGGTCCTCCCATCGGGTGGACGCTGGCCGGCACGGCCAACTCGCCCAGCTCTAGCCTGACGCTCATGTATCAGAACATGAGCAGCGGCGTGGCCACCGGCGCCGCCGGCAACCATCGCAGCGACGAGATGTTGACGTCACCGCAGCAGCCGCGATCCAGCAGAACACCGCCGCCGCCAAGGCAGCAGACGGACGACGTGGCAAGGCACATGACGCGGCAGTTCGGCGCCGGCGGCATGTACCCGCCTCCCTTTCCACAGGCGACCACGTCGGCCATCCGGTCGTCCCCGCGCCCCCCCATGCCACCGACGACGGGTGGCGGCAGCGGCATGTTCGTGACGGCAGCCGCCGCGTCGGGGGAGCCATCTACAGCGGCGAGTTTCAGCCCCCCCGGCGGCACGAGCGGAGGTCGATCCGCAGCCTTTGACGGGGGAGGCTACACCGCGTCGCCGACGAGCACAATGGCCGACGCCGGCGGCGGCGGCGGCGGCGGCGGCGGCGGCCGCAGCAGCAGCAATCGCGTCGACGGCGACGGCAGCGGCGGCGCCGGAGGCAGCATGGCAGGCTACCATCCGACGTCGTGGGGACCGACGACGCACAACATGGACTCGATCACGTTTGACAGTCAGGACATTGACATCGGCGCCTTGGGTCTGCAGCAGCCGGAGCTCATGGGACCCTGGCTGGACTACATTTCCAGCGACATGCTGGGGCTATTCAATCATCAGGATGCGAGTCAGGGGGACGACCGGAGGGGAACGTGAAGTCCTCCCGATTTGAATGATAGCCTCGTCCTCCACGATGACTTGATCGAGTATAATAGACGGTCTGGGATGGCGTTCTAGTCTCTTTATTCTTTCCATCTCACCTCTTCCTCTCTAGGATTCTTCTTGGATCTTGTGTGTGTGTGTAACTTTTCTTCTTCTTCTTCTTTCTTTTCTTTTCGTTTATCTGCCCATTCTAGAAAAAAAAAGGGGGGGATTCATCATCATATTCATGCGTTTCATTACAGATTTTAGGGACAAATAAAAAGGATGGGAATGGATGGGAGGGAATGTTTTTATGACTCATGACCCTTTCTTCTCTCGATGATTTCTGTTTTTTATAATCATCTTTGACCTCTGCAAGTGATGATTTGTGGTTTTTTTTTTATACTAATATTTTCTGGCTCATGATATATTACTTTACTTTTTGTGTTCTTTGTGAGGGTGAGCCTAGGATCATGTAAACCGAAATCTTTCCTGCTACTTTTCTTCATCCCTAATTTTTCTTCTTTTTTTTTATAATAAAAAAAAACTATGTCTTTTTGCGTACGCCTTGTATGAAGTTTAGAAAGTCAAGAGATCCCCCCCCCCCTCCCCGAAGCCTCGAAATCACTGAGGACCACCGGTCATACGCATAGACACCTGTCGAGCATGCTGAGCCATGAGAGCATCAGCAATCGTCAGGGCAGCCATGGCCTCGACGATGGGGACAGCACGGGGCACGACGCAGGGGTCGTGACGGCCCTTGGCGGCGAGGACGCCCTCGCCACCGGCGTCGTAGCGGGCGGTAGTCTGGTCCCGGCTGATGGTGGCGGGGGGCTTGAAAGCTAGTCGGAAGAAGACGGGCATTCCGTTGGAGATGCCGCCCTGGACGCCGCCGGAGTGGTTGGTCCTCGTCTTCAGGCGGGAGGCGGGGATGAAGGGGGTCGCGCCAGCGGCGGCGTCCGCGGCGGGGGCGGGAGCGGAGAAGAAGGGGTCGTTGTGGTCGGAGCCACGCATCTCGGCGCCGGCGAAGCCGGAGCCTATCTCGAAGGCCTTGACGGCGGGGATGCTCATCATGGCGTGGGCGAGCTTGGCCTCCAGCTTGTCGAAGCAGGGCTCGCCGAGGCCGGGGGGAGCGTTGCGGACGATGCAGGTGACGGTGCCGCCGGTGGAGTCGTGGGCGTCGCGGAGCTCGGCGATGCGCGACTCCATGCGGGCGGCGACGTCGGCGTCCGGGCAGCGCACGGGGAGGAAGTCGTCTACCCTGGCGCGGGTGAGCCCGTCTACCAGGTCGAGGAAGGTGGGGTCGGAGCTGAGGCTGGACTCGCCATCGGCGGCGGAGCGCTCGAAGAGGCGGATGTTGCCGACGGACGAGACGAAGGCCACGATCTCGACGCCGTACGTCTCACGGAGCCACTTCTCGGCCACGGCGCCGGCGGCCACACGAGCGATGGTCTCCCGCGCGCTGCTGCGACCGCCACCGGACGAGGCCTTGACGCCGTACTTCTCCAGGTACGTCCAGTCGGCGTGGGAGGGTCGGGGGTAGAGGTCTATCGTCTTGTCGCCGTAGTCCTTCGGCCGCTGGTCCTCGTTGGGCACGGTCAGGAGCAGGGGGGTGCCCAGCGTCCGGCCGTTCTCGGTGCCGGAGTGGATCGTCACCCGGTCCTTCTCGTCGCGGGGGGTCGTGATGGACGATTGGCCCGGTCGGCGACGATTGAGCTGCGGTTGGATGTCCTCCTCCGTCAGGGACAGGTTCGGAGGGCAGTTCTCGATGATGCATGACACCGACTTGCCGTGAGATTCACCGGCGCTGTATTGGAAAAAGATTTTGTTTAGGTCACCTCGTTGTTTTCTTTTCTCTCTCTCTCTCTCTCTCTGTGACGAAAAGAAGAAGTAGAAGAAGAAGAAGAAACTTACGTCGTCACGCGAAAGTAATTTCCAAAGGTCGACATCGTGGAAGAGATTGTGTGGGTGAGAAATGTGTGTGTGTGTTGAGATGTCGAGATTTAAACCCCGATCCGATGCCGCGGAGAAGTTTTATGGTGGGGGAGGGGTCGTGGGATTTTGTGGTACGAGTATCACTTCTATTCCTCGTAGGCTTTTTATCATCATTATAGCGGACTGGGGGACCCCAACTGATCCCGTAATTCCTTGTTCCAGTACAGGCAGCTGATGGTGACTGCTGCGGCTGCCCTGGAACACAGCGCTGAAGAATGAGCGTCTTACAGGGGAGAGGGGCAAGGACAGGTAGGTTGGACCCTCTGGTACTTTGATGCTTTTAGGGGGGGGGGGGGGNGTTGGGGTGTTGAGTGGGCATTCAAGCTCGCAGGTTTTTTTCTTCTTTTCTTCTTCTTTTCTTCCCTCTCTTCTTTGGTCTAGAGGCTCGGTATGGAGGGAAGGGAGTTTTTCTGGGGGGGAAGAGGGGAGGAGGGAGAGAGGAACGATAATATCCACCACAGGAGAGTGATGGCCGTACAGGTAGGTTGAGGTTGGTTTGGTTAGAGAGAACAGAGAGAAGAGAGAGGAGAGATACTCAGATTGGGAGGATTGAGAGAAGAGGAATTGAGAGATTCGGCTTTTCGGATTGAACCATGGATTGTATAATTTTTTTTACTCTTTTTTTTCTTTTATATATATGAATATGAATATAAATATATAAGTATATATATAAATATATAAATATATATATATACTTATATGTAAATAAATATAATATACATCTTTAGGCTTTCGCTAGTTGTGGGGAGTGATTCATAGTTTCCCCTGGTCTCCGGTCTCACTCTCCCGGGTACCAATTTTTATTATTTATCGCTCTCTCTGTTTTTCTTGGCCCCCCCCCTTTTTTCCCTCCCCCCCCCCCCCCCCCCCCTTCCTTTCCCTCCTCCCTCCTCTCCCCCTCAAGTTCAAGTTCCCTCCCCCGGCGCTTACGGCGGCCTGGATGATGGATCAGAGATGTATTTCTCTCTTGGCAATCACACATATCATTACTCGTACTCTCTCGGTATAAGCTAGTCGTATGCAAGGCATGCCGAAGCATTTCCACATTGCGTCTTTGTACCTATACTTTATAACTCTCTCTCTCTTGGTCTGGGGCTGTTCTTCTTCTTCTTCCATCATCATTATAATGAACATTCTATATCGTTATTCCACATGTTACTCTGGTATAGAGCACACTTGATACGAGATGAGAGGGAAGCTGTAACAAGTCACGTAGGCCAGATGCAGGAACTCGCTTGTTCCGGAGAAGAAGGGGGGGGGAAAAAGAAAGCCACTGCCATCTCGACCGCTCCATATTATCATCTACTGTACGAGTGGCCCTACATTGGATCAGCAGCGGCAGCGGCATTTTTCCTATCTCGCGCTCCTTTTTCCTTGACATCCCCCGATCAACCTTTGACGGAAAACAGCCTTCGTCGTCGGATCACGGTGGCAAGATCTCTCTCTCTCTCTCTCTCTCTCTCGTGTCGCTGTCAAAATGAGTAATGATATTATATATATATTAGATGGAAAATAAAATAAAATAACAGCCACCAAAGGATAAAGCCACCAGAGGATAAAGCCACCAGAGGGTAAGAGAAGTCATCGAAAGAGTATGCGTATTATGACTTGTCATCATATTAGCAAGCCATACGATAGTATCGAGTATTACTGGAGTAGTAATAGATGACGTATCATCACTACAGACTCTGCCGTGACATGTCTGGGTTTACACGCATCTACACCATCGACCTTGTGCGACCCCGTTTCTGCCAGGGATCAGATCATGTCGGCCGATGTACAGGAACGAGTCGAAGCAAACCGTTGATTTTTTTCCAATCTTATTCTGTGCATCTCTCTCTCTCTCTCTCTCTCTCTCTCTCTCTCTCTATATATATATATATATATATATATATATATATAATATATATATATAATACAATCATACAATTATATTCCTCTCCACAACCATCCCGATCACGTCCGATTTTTCTTTTCGAATGTCCCTCCTCCGTCGGACGGGTATGCAACCACTGTGCCGATCATGGCTTTCCTGTCCCCTCCGAGCCCTCCCACCCGTCAGTAGCACCAGGTCCTCGTCCTCGTCCCCGTCCTCGTCCGGACGACGCCCCTTCAGCGAGGCGGCGGCATCGCACGCCTCGAACAAGACGCAGGTGTACATCTCGCGCTCGGCAGACCCGCTGGTCAACCTCTCGCTCGAGCACCGACTCCTGCAGGTCTCGCACCCGACCTCGACGATCCTGATACTGTACGTCAACAGGCCCTGCGTCGTCTTCGGTCGCAACCAGAACCCCTGGCTAGAGACCAACCTTGGTGCCTTGGCGGATGGCGGCATCGTCAGCAGCGGCAGCAGCGGCAGCATCGTCGGGGGAAGACGGGCAGGGCAGGGAGATGGCGGTGGCGGTGCGTCGCTGGACCTGGTGAGGAGGCGGTCCGGAGGCGGCACGGTCTTCCACGACGAGGGCAACGTCAACTTTGGCGTCATATGCCCACCCGACCAGTTCGACCGAGACCGCCACGCCGAGATGGTGGTGCGGGCGCTGCACCGCCTCGGGAGACGCACGACGCGCGTCAACCAGCGCCACGACATTGTCATGGATCTAGCGGCGGATGACGAGGACAGTCGAGAAGGAGCAGGGGCAGGAGCAGAAATGGGAACAGCGGAGTCAAAGACGTTCAAGATATCGGGATCGGCCTACAAGCTCACGCGACTCAGGTCCCTGCACCACGGGACGTGCCTGGTGCGCAGCCCCAACCTGGCCAGCATATCGCGACTGCTGAGGTCCCCGGCCGAACCGTTCGTCATGGCGCGCGGGGTGGACAGCGTGCGCAGCCCGGTAGCGAACGCGGACGTCGATCCGGAGGATCTCAAGCACGCCGTCGTCGACGAGTTCACGGCCATGTACGGCCGGCCGGACGTGTTTGTCGACGACGTCGACGTAGGAGGAAGAGGAGGGGATAGCGCCCTGGTGGGGAGGGTGGACGCCATCGTCAGGGGTCGCGGGGAACTGGCGTCACGAGAGTGGGTGTATGGCCAGACGCCCAAGTTTACATTCTCTACGCATCCTACTGATCTGGATCCGAGGCCACGACCTGAATTGCCATTTGATGTGAGTCTCTAGTTCCTTTCTCTTTCTTCTGGAGGGGGGTTGGGGTTGGATTTCTCTCTTCGTCTCGGTTTAAAACGTCTTGATGTTTCTCTTCCTTGAGATGATGATGACGATGGGCTGACTGCTACATGTTTTCTTGCTAAAAAAAAAAAAAAGACACAATTCCACTTTACCTGTAGGCATGGCATTGTCGAAGAGTGCACCGTGGATGGTGTGACTGACCAGGCTGCCATCGTGGGCGCTTCCGTTCACGATATCGACGACTGGTCCGATCGTCTGGCCAGGTCGGGTCTCAGGTCGGCCGAAGCTGACGGGCTCGGCAGGTGGATCAATGGCGTGCTCGGGACGGGATTCACACGATCCCATCTCAAATCATGACGATATCCTCACCTTTATCCGACTCCGGTCCTCTTCCTGTCCGTTCCAACCCTGGACCTGGACCTATATACAGAGTACGAAGCAGAAGGATGACCCCCCTTCAAAGGTTTTTTTCTTCTCTCTTCTTAAAAAAAAAAGTAAGAAAAAAAAGAAAAAGAAATCCGTCCTCTGTACGTCTCAACCCTTGTCTGTATAAGAGAAGAGGAAGTTGATAAGAAGAAGAGGAAGGAGGAGGAGGAGGGGGGGGGGGAGAAAAAAAATAAAATCAAAGGATGTGTGTACTATCAAACGGGAAAAGGGCGAGAGATGTCTGTATTAATCTTATTAAAAAAAANAAAATCAAAGGATGTGTGTACTATCAAACGGGAAAAGGGCGAGAGATGTCTGTATTAATCTTATTAAAAAAAAAAACCATTCTATACTGCTATACATGTAATTTTATCCACCACTATAAATATTATTACCTGTCATGTGGGATTGTGGTTCCCGATGATTATATTGGCATGGGAAAGGTGGTCTTGTGGCCGTACGGTAGCATTTTGGCTTGACACATACGAGGTCGAGTGGCATGTGAACCAAGTTCCCGTGCGGGTTTGTTGGGTGGTCATCAGTACGACACTTTCCCTCTCTTCATCTCTCTCTCTCTCTCCTTCTCTCTTCCCTTCCCCTTACTTCCTCTCTCTACGGCTTACTCTCATGTCTTTCCCTCCCTATCCATCAGAGAGAGAGGGAGGGAGGGAGGGAGGGAGATGAGCGGCGAAGAAGAAGAAGAAGCGAATAGTAGCAGCTCTCCACGTGCGCCGTTACGGTCATTGGCATTATTTCTCGAGCATCATCGTACTACTTGTTCAGGACAACAACAATGATAATAACTCGGCCGCTTCTCTCTGCCCGAGAGGGTGTGATGGCTTAGACATGGATGACCCGGATAGTTGGGGGCGGTTGTATCGGATGGCCGGTATCATTATCAAGGGAGTACGGAGAGTAACGAGTAGGGATGGGATGGGATGTAGTGCTTTGGGAGTATATATATATATATCTTGGCTCTTCATCGTATATCGCAGATGGCTCGCAAGTTTATATCCTAATGGTTATTTAACGGGCACCACATCCTATCCGTGAGGTGCAGATGTGATGGAGCAAGGGGAGGGAAAAAAAAAAGGCCAACAAAGAGATGGACGGTGGACGGAAAACAAGAGAAAAAAAACGTGTGATACGGGACCCGGTGCCTTGTAGGACAGACAGGCTGCGAACAAGACGGCTGTTGATCAGTCCAGGCCCTCTTGATGCAAAAGACTTGACAAGATGGGATTGGGGGTTTTCTTTTTCTTTTTCTTCTTCTTCTTCTTCTTCTTCTTCTTCTTCTTCTTCTTCTTCTTTCCTTCTTCTCTCTCTCTCTCTCTCTGTGTGTGTGTGTGTGTGTGTGTGCGTGTCTCTCTTGCTGCTTGACTAGTGGTGATAGTACGAATACAACATCATCGCGTCATCACAGAAAGCTGATGATACCTACAAGAGTACTTGGGAGGAGTGATGATAACTCTAAGAACAGAGTCTGCATTCTCCATCTTACTTGCGATCCATCCCCCCCATACATCCCCCCATACACCCCGCATCATAGACGAACGGGAAGGAAAAGAGGAGGAGGGGGGGGGGGGGGGGTTGGGGTGTTGAGTGGGCATTCAAGCTCGCAGGTTTTTTTCTTCTTTTCTTCTTCTTTTCTTCCCTCTCTTCTTTGGTCTAGAGGCTCGGTATG